GGACACCTAAATCAATAGTGTGCAGAGGGAACACTACTCTGATTAGGTAACTGCCCTGGTATTTACTAGAGACTAAACAAAATGGATTTCATAAATGCAAAATAATATGCTCAAGGTATGTGTATATACTTCAAAGCTCTTTGTGGGAACACACAATTTAAAAAATAGAAGAGAATATTAAGATTCCATATAAATCCCTTGCATGAAAAGAATCAAACAATCTTTTACCCCTGATTTTGTCTTCAGGTAGGAGAAAGCAAGAATCCTATTACCTCCTTCATTTCTGCCCACCTTCTGTATCATCTTCAACCATCCTTCATTTCTCTTTTTTTTTACTTTTTTTTTGATTATGCCATTACATTAGTTCTACTTAACCTTCTCCATTCCCCTCTACCCTGCACACCCCTCCCCCACCATTCCTCACTTTAGTTCATGAACACGTGCCTCAAGTTCTTTAGATTCTATATTTTCCATACTATTCTTACCCTCCTCCTATCTATTTTAGGTTTACTGTCTATGCTACTTACTTATTTCCTGTGCCTTCTTCCCCCTTCTCCTTCTCCCACTCCCCTGTTGCTAACCCTCCATGGGATCTTCGTTTCTATGGTTTTGCTCCTGATCTAGCTGTCCTCTTAGTTTGCTTTTGTTTTAGGTGTGGTTCTTAATAACTTTGAGTTTGCTGTCCTTTCACTGTTCATCTTTTTTATCTTCTCTTTCTTAGGTAAGTCCCTTTAACATTTCATATAGTAAGGGCTTGGTGATGATGAACTCCTTGAATTTGATCCTATTTGAGAAGCACTTTATCTGTCCTTCTATTCTAAATGAAAACTTTGCTGGATAGAGCAATCTTGGTTGTAGGTCTTTGGATTTCATGACTCAGAATACTACTTTCCAGCCCCTTCTTGCCTGTAAGGTGTCTTTTGAGAAATCCTCTGACAGTCTGATGGGAACTCCTTTGTAGGAGTGACTGTCCCCTTAGCTCCTGCTGCTTCTAGGATTCTCTCCTTCATTTTAATCTTGGCTAATATAATGATGATGTGCCTTGGTGTGTTCCTTCTTGGGTCCAAATTCTTTGAGACTCCCTGAGCTTCCTGGATTTCCTGGAAGTCTATTTCCTTTGCCAGATTGGGGAAATTCTCCTTTATTATTTGTTCAAATAAGTGTTCCACTTGTGGGTGTTCCTCTTCCCCTTCTGAAACCGGTATAATTCAGATGTTGATACGTTTTAAGATGTCCTGGAGGTTCCTAAGCCTCTCCTCCTTTTTTTGAATTCTTGTTTCTTCATCCTTTTCTGTTTGGTCATTTTTTTCATCTTTCTGGTCCACTCTTTTGATTTGAGTACCAGTTTCCTTTCCGTTACTATTGGTTTCCTGTGCATTTCCATTCATTTCAATTAGTTTAGTCTTCATATATTCCTCTAATTTGTGACTATAATCAACCAGTTCTATGAGTATCCTGATCACCAGTGTTTTGAACTGTGTGTCTGAAAGTTTGGCTATTTCTTCATCGCTTAGATTTATCATCTCTGGGGCTCTGAGTTGTTCTTGAGCCATGTTTTGATCTGTTCATGCCTGTTACATATGAGGAGAGGAGCCTTGGTGTTTACCAGGGTAGGGCCACCCAGGTCGCTGGTTTGTGATGCTGTATGTGGAGGCGGGGTCAGAGAGGGAGCAATGGTGGTCCTCTCTGCTTGCCCAGTCCACCTTACTGCTTGCCCCAGCCTGCTTATCCAAGCGCAAATGTGCGAGTCTGCCGCCCTGCACCAGTTGCTGGGGCCTGCGAGATCTGTCTCAACGCTCACCTCTTGAGTGGTTTATCTGTGTGCAAATAAATGCATGACTGAGTGCAGACAGCCAGCAGGGCCTCTTCCCTGGGTTCTGCCCGTAGCTAGCCCGCACCTGGGATCTGCGCCCCCATCTGCCTGTGCACCGCCTGGATCTTTTTTGCCTGACTGGCTCCACTGCTGGTTTCGCCCCTCTCACTGGTTTAGCTGAGTGGCCCATTGTTTTTGGACTCCGTATTCGATTTTCTGTGTGGTTTGATTGTGTTTATTGTTGTTAAAACTTTTTTGTTTTTAGATTTGGTTGTGCGAGGATGAAAAATATTCCCACCTATGCCTCTGTCTTGGCAGAAGTCCCTTCATTTCTCTTTATCATTAAAAAGTATCAGCTTTCAACCAATAAACTTACTCAGATAAACACAATGTAGTTTTCTTTTAAAATAAGCTTTTACTGAATATATCAACAAGGTACTGTAGAGCGTAGAGTGAATTTGCAGTTAACAAAGTGTTTAACACGACAGGTCTCAGAAGATGAGTGATGGGGAATCTTCTAGCTCCTCGTGGTCCCTTGTCAGTGAGAACACACTAAATACAAACCAGCAGTGAAACATATGATTCAAACAAGAACAAATCGTCAAGATTAGCTTTCAGTGAAGATGTGCGGGTCCTCTGAGGAATGCACAGGGGAGGCACCTTCACCTTGCCTCTTAAAGGTCATAAATATGACATCCAGTAGATATTTCTACAAATGCCCCTGTGTGTGTGTTTGTCAGTGTGTACCCATGGGTTTTACACATGTGTGAGATGTCTGCTGTGATGACCTTGCTTTGTGCTCTTCTCGTGGGTGTGCTGCTAGAAACTGAGACGGCTAACAAAACAACCAGATCTGTGTTACACCGACTGCATCATGCATGTACAAACTTCCTCCCCACAGTCAGTAACAGGCATTCCCAAGCCAGCATGGTCTTCCAACCCGCTAAAGAAGTCAGAGAAGGGATTAAGTGACAGCTTTCTATGTTAGTATTTTGACTTAAAAGAGCATCCAGCAAGATTGGACAAGAAGATTAAGAACTAGGGAGGGACTTTTGAGTGTTTGTGTACGTATCTTTTCCCCAGTTGGGGACTCTTTCCTGCTTTGCCCTCCCACACAGCTGGAAAGGTAAGTCATGAGCAAAACCATTACTCTCAACTTCAAAACGGAAACCTAATGTCTCCTAGTTATAGGTTGGAAAAAAATGTTATGGAGAAAGAAGCCAATGGAAATTAACCACTTCACTGTCAGAAGTTGCAATGGGCTCTGAGCTGAGGTTGGCTGGAGTAGGCAGCATCTGCACCTGGGCACTGCCACAAAGGTGTCTGTTTGCAGTGGATGCTCTGCTCACATGGCCAGTGCATTCTCCTCAGTGGTGAAGGAAGTTCTGACTCCTAGGAAATGTCCACGACCATCGTGATCTGTGCTAGCAGGAAATGGAGCTGTGACATTCGCTATTTCAGTAACTTGCCAGACTGGGCACATGACACGGGGCACATGACACCAGGTTTTTTAACCTCAGAAAATATGGCTACTATATTTTTTACCACTATACAGATAACTAGAGATTGCAGTATTTCTCACAGGTTGAGAGTTTTCCACTTGTTACACAAGGAAAATAGGCTGGGAGCACAGTCTTGTCCTTGCCTGTGATTGTTCCATGTGATGGACCATTAATGCATCTGACAGTTTCCAGGAAAGCCCAGGGCCTCTCCAAGATCAAACACATCTCCCTAAGCAAGCAGGAATTAAAGGCACCCCCCGGCATGAATAAGGAACAGCACTCTCTCTGTGATCATGACTTTGTCTTTTCCTTTAGAACTTCCCCTGCGTGGTGGCATAGGTTTTACCTGAAATCACCTCACTTGGGCAGATGGCATCAAACTCTTTATAAACCAGTGAGGATGGCTTTGTTCATCCGTATCACTCAACTGAACACCTCAAAATACATAACAATGCCCACAACAGTGGGCTAAATAAAGGGCAGATGGAGCAACAAATTATATTCTCATAACTAAAAATGTCAGCCAAAGCATAACCCACCACTGATGGTCGTTTAGCAGGTTTCCTAACACACATTACAAATCTCATGATGTGCGTTGTGGCCTGGTGTAGGTGAGAGCCTCAGGGTTGTCACTACAAATGGGCTGAATGTCATTTGGGCCACTTTGTCACATTGGGCACCAGATGACAATGAAGCCTGTCATCAGATTCTACCTCTTCAGGAACACACCTTCTAGCAAAGGTTCCTGTTTAGATCACCCCAGCCAGTTCACGACACTAGGTCCCCAGTGTACCCCTTAGGCCCCAAATCACTCTGAGAATCCCTTAAGACAGCGAAGTCACCTCTCCAGCCTTGGTCTTCTTGGTGCTTCCAAAGCACATAACTTCAGCAGCCAAATATCCCACTGAGGGTTATACTCCCAACACCAATAACTAAGAGTGACTACTTTGTGGATAAAAGAAAGAAAGCCTCGAAGTACCATCATTTTAACACATAGTTTTATCTACACAGCCAAGTGGAAGAGGGTAGTGGAAGGAAATTATTGAGTTAAATGCACAAGACCCCATGTCGGTGTCCTGACTTTAGATGGCTGACTGCTTCACTGATCACCTGCACAGACTGTCTCATCCCTTCACTGTGTGGCCCTAGCTCTAAAAAAGCAACAGCCAGAACTCACTAGCTAATTGACTAAAACAGAGACCAAAAGCACAGTAGTGCTCTAGTCAAATTAATTCAATTTCCGAGCAACTGATTGCAGAGTTTCAATGATTGTGTCTAGAACATTGTAGCTTCAGTTATATTTTCAGCTTATTCCGAGTGATGAGAGAGAATAAAACATAAGTTAGGGCTCTATTGTTAAAGAAAATAAAGCTCTTACTACCAAGAAACAACTTACATAGCATTTTATACCTAAACATTTACAAAGAAGGCACATCACAGTTCTTTTTGTTAACAGTGAGAAAAGCAAAAATGATTGTAACATTAACTTTGGGGGTTCTTATAACAACGGCCGGTGGAAGAGGAAATACACAACACAGAGTGAAACGCCTAAATCAGGTGTTCAGACAAATTTTCCAAAGATGTGCTTTTTAGATAAAATGTGTGATTTATGTCTCTGAAATCTAAAGAAAGGAAAGGAGTGAATTATATACGCTCTGACAGAAGCATGAACATCAGTCTCCTCTCTACCCCACTTCTCTGTCAGAAGCTGTATTAGTGGTTTCGGTAAAGACATGACAAAAGTTCATATTCATCTCGGTGACAGCCATCCCGCGGACTTGCTCAGGGCCTTGGCACATGAAACCGAAGACACTGAGAGATGAAGGAATATATCTGAGCCATTCTGTGACCCATTTAATACCACAGTCACAAAACCAAGGGTTGTTTTGAGCAGTGAGCTGTTTCAGGTTGGAGAGACTGTCAAAGACCCCTTGAGTCAGCACGCGCAGCTGGTTGTTGGATATATCCAGCTGTTCCAGTTCACGGAGATTGGAGAAGGCCGTCAAAGGGATGTGGTTTATCTGGTTGTCCTGCAGATACAGCCGGAGCAGATGCGTACCTGGGAGGTCAGATGGGGGGTGGGAGAGCGAATTCCTTACCATTGACAATTCCTTGAGCTTGGTGAGATGGCTGAAGCTGCCCCTGGCAATGTCTTCATTGGTCAGGTTGTTCCCATCCAAAATCAGACACTCCAACCTCCTGAGGTAATGAAAGTCCACATCCGATACGAAAGCAATTCGGTTTTCATCCACTCTCAGCTCTTGCAAGTTCACAGGAAGCCCAAAGGGTACTCTGTTCAGATAATTCTTGGACAGGAACAACAATTTGAGGCTAATCGCCTCCCGGAAGGCCCCAGTTTCTACTCCCTCTGTGGATAAAAAGTTGTCATCAAGGTATAGTTCTTCAAGCTTCAAGAGCTGGGCAAGAGCTGTCCGTGAAATGGTCCGAATGACGTTTTCCTGCAAATGGAGAACTCGAACATTCTTGGGGAGGTTCACGGGGAACTCGTCCAGCTGGTTGCCGTAAAGGTAGACCGTGTGCACTGACTGCACGCTGTGTAGCTCTGTAGGAAACTCAGCGTTATTAATTTGGTTGTTTTGGAGGTAGAGGATGGTTGTACCCTCCGGGATCCCAAGAGGCACTGAGGTCAAGCTTCGCTCATTGCAGTAGACAAAGTTCCTGTCGCAGCGGCACACACTGGGGCACCCCAGGAGTTTGGACACTTGTGAGGAGAGTCCCAGAGAAATGAGAAGCCAAGATTTCAGGAAAAAAGCCCCATAGCTGGGCCACTGTGTGGTCTTCAGGCCCATTGCTAAAGCACAAAAATAAAATACAATGTCTTGGGGAAACAAGAACAAAGTAGAAAGCAAAACCAAAATGACTGGATGGAGTTCTATCAAAGTCCAGAAATCCAAGGAGAGGAAAAGACTCAAAGGCCCACAGTCAAAAAATCTTCCTGCAGTCCCTGGTTGTATCAGCCTGTGTTGACCTCCTTGCTATTGTCCAGCACATGCAAAAAAGAAAATTAAAAAGAAATTCAAAAGAGAGAATTTTCTACACAAGCCAGCTATAAAGCCATGTTATCAGCGGTCGACAGGGCCCCTGTTGGGCAGGCAGAACACCCACCTCCCGTTGTACGTCAGAACAGCATTGCTTAGTCTGTGAACTTCTTGGTTAAGCTCGATCTGCAACCTGTGTAGGCAAGCAGAGAGAAAAGAGTCAGTTGATGGAAGTACCAGAAGAAGTGTTGACCTGACTGTACTCCTCAAGAATGTTGTGATTGGGACCAAATGACTAGAGGCAGGTGATTGGCATTAAATAATATTTAAGTAACAATAATTTCATTGAAAAAATACTCAAGAAATGAAATGACTCAATTGTCTTCAAAACAAAACCATACTCTTACCTCTCACTGTCAATGATTATATTGTGAATTTTACAATCCCAGTCAGTACCATCTCATAAGTACTATTTGCATATCTAAATAAATGGGCACATCAGGAAATCCACTGAATCAAATAACGAGATCACCTACAAATCCAACTGGTTGAAAATTTGTTTCAAGGTGAAACACGTGAATAAGGAACTAATAAAATTTAAGAAAAAATGCAAAGACTTTTTAATTTATAAAAAATGAATGCAAATTGGGAACCAACAAAGTCAACTAAAAAAAATGCAGCCTTTTGATTTAACACCTTGAGGAAACACTACAAAACTAAGGCACAGAAGCTTGTGTGAATGTAGAGAGAAGACTTCCCTTCCCATTTTCTGCCTCTTCTCATCTTTAGTGTTCCTCTAAAACAGCTGAGATCCTGGTGACCAAGGAGAATGACCACAGTCCAGTCCAGAACTCATTGTCCCTCATCCCCTCCTTTGGAACCTCCAGATGTAGATGAGACAGGCACCTGTGAGCCCCTTGAGAGTCGCAAAACGCATGACTGAGAACACATTATTTTTTAACAACACAACCTTTTTCCCAGCTGTGAGTTTTTCTTGCCCTAAAGTAGGACTTTCGGGAAACTTTGAAATGATAGAAGGCACAGTTATGGAAGTAAAGGCAACCTACAGATAAGTACTCCTGCCTTTATGCTCCAGAACTTGTCCCAACTGTTTTTAGATTAGAGAGGTAAAGAAGTTAATTGAAAGGTGCCAGATTTGATTTTCCTACAGAATAAGCCAACATGACAGGACATGGAAAGCTGTGTGTCTCTTAATTCTCACCAATAACCTGAGACCAAAACTACTTACATCAAAAAGCACAGAAAACTATTTGAAATTGTTTCCTTAGCTTTCTTTAGAAACATAATTTATAAAAGAAAAAAAATGTTAGTGTTATTTAAATGTCAAGGATATTGTAATTTCTTTCTGTAATTTAAAAACCCCTCTATGCTTAAAGAATAATGTACAGTAGAACTAAAGGCAGTACAGAAAAATGAGTAGAATGCATAAGCATGCTGACATCTTAGCTCAGGTTCAAATTTTCAAACCATCTCAATGTTCCCTAATAGCTGGTTACTCAAGTGTGATCCTTGGTCCAGAAACATGCACTTGACCTCAGAAGTTATTAAAAACACAGTATCTACATGAGAGCCCCAGGTGGGCACATTAAAATTTGACAAGCACTGCTTGAAAGAGTGCTATCTTACTTAATCATTCAAATGTTTTAAATTTTCACATGTAAAATAAATGTAAAAGCATGTGAATTGACTGTTTTGAGAAAAGTCATAAGGCATACTCACCACTCCATCTCCAACAAATAGACTCAAATTACATCTTACATGTAAATGACATTTTATGAGGAGCAATGCAATGGATATCTATCACCTGGCCTCAGCGGACTCTTCTCTACCCAACCCCCAAGAGATGTATAAACTGTTTATTAACAGACAAGCCTACAGGTGTATTTCTTCTTGGACACACCCACAGTGTGACCCCAGAGGCCTGTGGTCTTGGTGTGCAGGCCTCAAGCACAAAGACCACAGAAGTAACACAGCCCTCTGTGGGCTTGGCTTTTCTTCAGCCACCCCAGGTCTTCACAAATCTTCTGTTCCAGACCCTTAGCCAGGACCTGGCTATATTTTCCACCCTTCACATCCTGCTGTCCTTTCAAGAACCAGTCTGCATTCCTGCCAGTCCTGGCTCTGCATCATGGTGATCACCCATTCTACCTCCTCCTCAGTGAGCTCTCCTGCCCTCTTGGTAAGGTAGATGTCTGCTGTCCTTACCATGACAAAAGTGTATCTTCACCCCACATCCCTCATTGTAGTAAGGGCAAAGGCTCTTTTCTGTCATTCATCAGTATTAGCATTGAGTCCTCGAAAATGTACTGAAACTTCTCAGGAACCACTAGAGATATCACTCCAGTGGTGTGTAGGCCTCCTGGGGAAAAGCCTCACCAGACTCCTGAAAAGTGTTTATCTAAATGATAAGCACTATTGTCTGATGGGAGTCATTGGTAATTAGAGGAAAGCCCTTTTCTATAGCATAATTTATTTAAGAACAAAAAGAAGTATGACCCAGGGGAGTCTTCAAAGTGTGATGTGAACACACAGAGCATAAAATTTCCCAAAGGTGAGAAACAGCTGTACCAGGGTCTCCAAGCAAGTTCCTCTGTACAAAGAACTGATGCTCAACTCTGTTTACAAACCAAGGTTTTAGGGCCTGAAAACAGTAAACCAGACTTGAAAATGACAGCATTTACTTGGAAAGCTCCTCAGCTACCAGCCGCAAAGCAGAAATCACTAGGAGTTAACAAAGTGCTCAGGGATGGACCTGGGGACTTTCACTGTGCAAACAAATTATCAATTTTCAACTTGCTGAGTTGTGTGCTCTGCAGAAAGAGGAGGAGTAAGTCCCTCTGCCCCAGACCTCATGCCCTTGCAGGTGTCTGTTATTGTGTTTCTTCTCCAATTACATAAGAAGAGGGAGTGGTCCTGAGGATGGCTCCTCATAGGATTACAAGGGGCAAATTATCACTGTTTATCCACCTTCCTAGGAGAAAAGTTCCATCTAGATCACAATGTCTTGATCAGTTATCACAACTGCTGGTTAGGGTGAGCACAAACTCTTAGGGTTTTCTGAGCATCTTGGGAATCCCACAAACCATCAGTGCCCAGTGTATTTGCTCTCATCCTTGGATCCACAATAGTCTAAATATCATGTCAGCCAATATATTGTATCTCTGTTCACAGTAGCACAAGTATAACATCACAAATATGCAGAAAAATATTTTTGAATTTCAGTGGGCTAAAATTTCCTCTATATGTTCAGCTTTAGTTCCTACTGAATACCTAAGGCAGAAATAGCACTAAGTGATAGTCAAAAGGCTGGGCCCTGAGAGCTCACCCCACCTCTGACCCTCAGTAGCTCTGGGACTTTGAATAAACTAGCCCTTTAAATCTGGTCTCCTCCTATGAAAAATGAGGATAATATAGTTCCCAAATCACAGAACTCTTGGGAACATTAAATTGGATAAATATGGCGAAAGGCTTATATGGTGCCTTATACATGGAAAAAACACAATATTATAAATGGTTATTTCCTGTGTACTGGTTATTATTAGTACCATCCAAAGATGTAAACTCCAACATGTAGAGAAAATGAAATCCCCTTTTTTCTGCCATCACCTGTGTCCTTTCACTTACCCCAGGATTTCTCAACTTCAGAACTATTGACATTTAGACCTCGTAAGTCTTTTTTTAAATCCTCACTGAAGGACATTTTCTTTTTTATTGCTTTTTAAAGAGTGCACAAGGAAGGGGGGAGAGAGAGAAAAAAAGAGAGAGAGAGGGAGGGAGAGAGAGAGGCAGGGGGAAGAGAGAGAGAAAGGAACATTGATGCGAGAAAGAAACACATCGATCATTTGCTTGAGTAAATAGCCTGAATGGGAAGAAAATCAGCCACCTATGTATGTGCCCTGACTTGGAATTGTACCCATGAGCTTTTTGTTTACAGGGCAAATCTCCCACCAACTTATTGGCCATGCAGAGTAAGGCCAATAAGTCTTTTGTTGTGGGTTTGCCGTGAGCACCCAAACATGTTCCCAGACAGTGCCATATGCATGTCTGTTAGGATAGCAAAACCTCCCAAGTTGAGAACCATCCTCCTGCCCCATCTTCTAAGTACTTTAGAAGGTTAACATTATTACTCTGATTTTACAGAGGAAATTGAAGGTAAGTTTCTAGTAAATGGAGCCTGAAAATGTTCCTTGCCATGGGCATGGAAAATGCAGTATGTATTTCATTTATTTCTTGAACAAATATTTATTGGGCACTAGAATGAGAATACAGTCTTTTGCAGAGCTGATGTGGTTTTTGGCTTGGTGAAGTTTACAATTTAGTGAAGGGAGAAAACTGAAGAACAGGGAATACAGTGCTGTGTAAGCAGCAAGAGGAAATTACATACTGTGTATGAAGTTCTAACCTAGCCTGCAATGTATCAGAATAAAAACACTGAAGGAGGACTGTCTAAGTGATGATCTGAAAGACAAAAAGGGGCAAGCCAGGGAAGATTCAAAAAGTTCTGCTCGTGGACCCAAGCTGATGATGATGAGGATCAAGAGGCAAATCCCAAACCAGCTGAGAAAAGGAGCAAAACTTTGACTTTCCCCCAACTTTGTCTGCTCCTCACTGAGGCAGTCCTACTTTTAGAAGATCAGAAACAAGCTCATGTTTCAAAATTGTTCTCCATTTCATTTGTGAGTCTCTATCATTGGAAACAAAAAGATTTTGCTTCCCAAGATAACTTTCAAATATTGACCACAAAAGTTGTATTTTCTTTTTCCTATTTGTTTGAATGTTTCATTGACCAT